CTGGGGTTCTTTAACGTGCACCCAAATCTGAGTACACGGGCCTACAACATTTCCGCCTCCATCGGAAATGCAGCCGCCGCAGCCGGGAATCGAACCCGCGCCCTGCGGGTCAGCAGCCGAGTACTTGAACTGATATAGGCCATCGGGGGTGTTGAATGCCGTCTTTTCACAGTCCATTTGATCTACCTTTATCTGCCAATAGCCGGAACGAAGGTCTATGAAGGAAAAATATTGGGACTCTTAGAGGCAATCAAACTCATCATCTATTCGTGGCAGAGGGCACACGTCTTTTTTTGGTAATTTCTTGGGGTGTCGATAATCAACGCACAAACGCCATTCAGCGTATTTCTTGCGGACTAGCACTACAGGAGAAGCCCAAGGACTGCAGGATGGCTCAGTTATGTTCTTGGCGAGCATGTTGTCGACATCACCTTGGATAATGTGACGCTCGCCCACCGACAGGCCATATGGACGCCTATGATTAGGATGCTCATTACCAATGTTTATGCAATGGGTCATACCAGTAGCTCTCTCCAATAGATGGCCGCTGAGGTCAAAAACGTCATTGTAGGGTAGCAGAACTCGGCGAAGCGTGTTAGTCTTCTGCGGCGTTACGTTGGAAGTGATCATCGACGTAATAGCGCTGTCGGAGCAAGTGTTAGATTGATGTTGAGCTTTGGGGTCAGAAGCAGTGGCCATCAGGAAAACATCTACCGCACTGTCTGCTAAGGTGCAGAGCAACACCAAAGCGACTCTTGTGGCAGCCCTTGAGGTGTCAAGCTAAAGTTGACAACTGCGAGGCACGTAGAATTTCCTGTGGCGGACAGAATGGTGTGCGGTAACGTAATGCCGTGGTTTATGAGAACATCAGTGATAAGGGTCACAACATAGCCACCGTCGGGAACTGGTGGTATTGAGAAGATCTCTACGTAGGTGCGTCTCTGTGGGGAAGACGCGCATGTCCCGTTGTGCATAGCCGATTCGGCCGTTGTGCAAGGGGTTCTGTTGCGGGCAAATGTACACAGAGTGTACTGATCGAACAGTCTTTGAGGCAGAATGCGTGGAGAGGAAGTCAAGGCTTAACATAATGTCGTGGGGGCATTTATCAAGAACAGTGAAGAGAACAACTGTGTGTCGATCCGCCATGCTTACACGAGCGGAGCATATTTCAACAATAGATGCCATTCCGCCATCGGTAACACGGACGAACTGAGTGGTCACATGTGTGACAACCTTCTTGAGCTTGCGGCGAAAATCACTCGTCATCACGGAAAGTTGAGCGATGCTGTCGACAAAAGCGGTGTTTGCCGTCTACTTGTACGTCTTTAAGGTTCCGTTTTGTCTGTATCGTCGAGAGCGCATTTTCTATCAGTCCGAGCGCTGCAGCCCCACCTCCAGGGGCTGCAACACTTAGTTTTCTGTCGGGGAACCTCGTGGGAAGGCGGGAGAAGACAATCGGCGGGGCTGTAGAGAACGAGACTGGCGACGCTGGGGGATAGAGAGCAGGAGTAGCGGCGTTCAGTAGCAGGTTCCTGGGCAAATTGGTCGCGACTAGTCTCATGGCGATAGGCAAGACGTGAATGGAAGGGACGAGAGGACGCTTGTCAAAAGAGCCCCAGTGACTTCTGCAATGGCGAGAAATGTGCCCGATTCAGTAACACGAGAAGCAGATGGGCTTCTCATCGTGTTTTTCCCATGCGGACGGATTACGGAACGTTGAGAGAGAGCCGGTCGGGAAAGAACGTCCAGGCGTGTATAGGGGCTGAGAGTTGGTGCGAAGAGGCCGCGAAATAGAGTAAATTCCCAAGCTGGCGATTTCCTGCCGGACGACTGCTTGAATGAGCGGCAATGTAGTTGAAGTGGCTGCTCCAGCTAAGGGGGGACCAGCATCCGCTGACCCCACCTTAGCTGGAGCAGCCGCTTCAAGCTCCCACCTGATGAGTGGCAATACTTTTTTGCAGACTAGTTGGTTCATACTTGAAAAATTGAATTGCTGCACAAACTTGAAGAAAAAAACAAGAGAGACAGGAAAGAGCGTAGACCTTCCTGTGCTCTTTCCTGTCTTCGCTCTTTCCTGTCTCTCTTGTTTTTTTCTTCAAGTTTGTGCAGCAATTCAATTTTTCAATGATGAGTGGCGTCAAGTTGTCAGAGGTGTATGGTGGATATGTGTCGAGACACGAGGACGTTGCAGCGGTGTTCGGAAGGTGCTGGAACTGATGATAGATGTGCCTTCTTTCAGCTTGTTGGAACCGGCAGTATTCTTCAATAATCGCATCGACAGATGACACATTGTTGAATACCAACAGTTTGAACGCATCGTTGGTGATACCCTAAGAATATGCGCAACTTTGTCAGGCTCGGATATGTTTTCGTCAGTTTGGCGGCATAGCGAGAGGACAGCGTAAATGTAACTGATGTAGGACTCTGTGGAAGATTGTCCGCGAGTTGACAAATCATTCTTCGCAGCTTTCTGACGACCAAAGGGGTTGTCAAAAGCTCACGGAGTTTTTCCTTGATGCTGTGCCAGCTTGTAATGTCATGCTCGTGGTTGTCAAACAAAACACGAGGGGCTCTGTCGAGATAAAAGATTACGTTCGCGAGCATAATGTGGGATCCCACCTGTAAGTGGCGCTGACCTGTCCGTAGAGGCGTAGCCACTGGTCGACGTCGGAACCATCGCGGCCCCGAAACACGCCAGGGTTTTTGAGGGCGGGAGGCATCACGAAAGTTGTTGTGGGCGCTGGGCTTACAGGCCGGGCAGAGAAGCGTGGGTGACCGGGGAAGATGTAGCCGAGTCTTGAGTGGTCTTGTTGAAAGCCGCGAAGGTGCGTCCGCTTCGGAATTCTGTAGCAAGAACGGGGATCGCACAACTCCACCAAACATGTTAGGAGGAAAATCACCGACTCGGAGGGGTAGTCACAGATGTATTCTCAGCCGGTTAAGCGAGCAGCGCCTGTCGCAGAGGTTAGCTCGTGCCAGTCTATATGCTTTGTCTTCTTCATCTCCATGCACTGGCACTTAGCAATATCAAACATTTTCTTCTCACATGTCACCGTTTATGAGTAAGAAAAATTGTTTCGAAATGTTATTCGAAGAATTACGAATATCTCTTACTACTCCTAATAATTTGGCCTTTAGGGCTCCTTCACTAGGACTCAGCGAACGGAACATCTGCGGGAGATCTCTGCGAATTACTATGACACAAGAAGATTACCTTGCTGAGTCATTGATCAGCTCTCAATTTTTACTGGCCAATCTAACATTTATTCTTCAACTATGACACTGTGAATACCTAACCTTCAGAAGAAATTTATATATCAATTACACATCAGTTATTTAACAAATTGTATTATTTTTCTTCTTTCCCCAAATTTTCACTTGGTACGAAATTAACCCCGCTAAGTAAAAACAAAGTAATCCCAAATTCCTAGCCTTGATAATCTTGAGGTATTGACTTACATTATTCGCCCGCTTCTTGGCCGACCCCCTTAGTAGGTGAGAGCTGCAAAAAAAAAAAGATCAAGCAAGCAAGCAAGCAATGTGACACAGTTAATGGGTGATCAAGAACAGGTTTCCTATTGGGTTGGAGCATTGGAAGACCCACTCGTCATGCAATACGCCGCCTAGTGGGATGCCTGGCTGCTCCTTTAGTTCTCTGAAACACTTTATCACTCATTTTAATGCGACTACTTTCCTGACATCAAGCCTACCTAAGGCCTGTTTCAAGCACTGGCGTGGCTGAGAGGTAGAATGCTGTCGTTAGTGTTTTTTATTTACTGAGTTTTTTTTTCACTCGATACTGGTAATGGGCACCGGTGGCAGCGGCGTACAACTACAGTGCCGTGCGTGACCCTTATCTTTATCTCATAACAGCTTTCGCTGTGAAAGCTTTTGAACATTCGGATGGGATGAGGTAAAAACACTTTGCAGTATGCGCTGAAAGCATGATAAAAAGATGCCACATAAGATGGATGCTATTGGTTAACCAATGCGCCCATTTTTGTGTAAAAACATGCTATGTTCAAAAAGAAAAAAGCATGATTAAGATACGCTTTTGAGAGAGTCACATAGGTTCCCCTGCCACATTCCTCGATGGAGGAGCTTTGACCACGTTTGCAAGCGTTGAGGCTTAGGCCAACAGGTTCATGCTTCGAGCAGACAAAATACCGCACCAACGTCTGACAGGACACCTAAGAAAGGGCAACACACGATGCTGCCTCATGCATCCTTCGTCTTGCGTCGTGTCAGAATTTTACGCGGTTTTTTCCTGTTATATTTTGAGTACAAATTTTCTCTGTAAATAGTGAAACAGTCGGCGAGTGTCTAATGGGGCTATAAAAAACTAAACTGCCGTATTGTGGGTATATGAAACAAAAATTACACGTACCGACTCCACGTCCAGAGGTCACGAAAACTAATAATACGAAGGTGTTCAGCAAACGTTGAAGGAATAGTGTTGTTAACGACACTTCCTTAGAATATTTCGGAAGGTTAAAGGCTTAATTTTTCTTTTCGAAATTGCACTACCTCTAATGTTAACACAAAAGTTAGCGTCATGTAGAAATTGCTAAGCTGAATACTTCCTGAAGCTCCTTCATTCATATTGTTGTTTCCAGCTATTTGAAATATCGCATAGTCTTTCGCAAAAACAGAATGACGCTCGTTTACTACAGATCACCACAACGGAAAGATAAATTCATAGTGATTTAAAAGTGCACAACCAGACAAAAACGCATGCATCATTCAGCTTTACAAATGGGGTTGTCTGTTTTATTTTGTTAGCACCGGAAGCCTTCTACAAAGCGAGAATGTGGCGCGATAATTTCTAAACGAGTAAACTTTCATATGATTGCGTAGTTTGCTGGATATGTATGAGGTCAACAAATTCCAAATATGCTGTCGATGATTAAATATTTTTAGTAAATCCTAATGCTGAAAAACAGTCAATTGTCTTTATCTATGGCCTCTGACTTGGGCTTTATACTTGATCCTGGTTTCAGGACGCTATGGCCTACAATAAGATGAACGTCCTCCACTGGCACATGACGGATGACCAGTCTTTTCCGTTTGTCAGCCGGACCTTCCCAGCAATGAGTGAAAAGGTGAGCAAAAGCGCAACGTGGGAAAAAGTTTCTTCGTGTATACTCTCCCGCATCTTTAAACCACGATACTGTTTTGGGGACGAACATCTCTAGGCCGTGGGTCGTGCGTGCGCGATGTATGTAGTAGTAGTAGTAGTAGTAGTAGTAGTAGTAGTAGTAGTAGTAGTAGTAGTAGTAGTAGTAGTAGTAGTAGTAGTAGTAGTAGTAGTAGTAGTAGTAGTATTTGTAGTCGTCTCAGTAGTAGGTAGCCACTTCCACGGCCTGACTAGAGGAGCGGCACGCACGCACCATTTTCATTTAAGGAAGCAACCCGCGCCCATAAATCATAAATAAAAATTGATAGTTGTTTCCGACGAGATAACTTACAGAGACGAGAAGAGTATTGATGGTTTGATCTCCAAGAAAATTTCCCTTGAATTTGATGCCTACTACAGAAACTATTATCAGAAAAACGCACTTTGAGCACTATCCGACCAGAAATCGTTGCCACGGTAAACGCGCTAGGCGTAACCTCCTTGGTTCTAGCAAGGTTTAGCGAAGGTTGGGCTGCAGTGCGATGAATTTAGTGAACTAGTATATAGTCATAAACTAGAGGCGCTGAAAAGTGGAATGTAGACACGAAGCGCTGGCTGTAAGAAAATGCGCGAGTGCCGCGTCTTGTTGAGTCCTTGGAATGTCCGCTGGATTGCGGGTTTTCATAGATTGAATGTATGATGAAAGATGTGAGACTGAGGTACTTCGACTGTTCACAAGATGGAAGCACGGATGGACAGATGGACAGACAGAAAGATGAACGGACAGGTGGACGCATGGACGGATGGTAGTACGGACGGACGCATGAAAAAACGCGGGCACGAACGTACAGATGGATGCAAGGACAGATGCACAGATGGAAAGATGGATGGATGGACCCATGAACGGTCGACCAGACGAACGCACGAACGAACGGAAACAAAAACGAGCGGACGGACAGATACTTCGCCCCACTCGTCATTATGCACTGCGTGGATATACTTTGATTATTAGTCGATGCTTCGCCGGCCGAGTTGGCGTATTGCAGGTAACGCAGCTTGCAGCTCCAAGTGCCATATGAAATGGGCAAGCCCTAGTATTCTACATTTGTCCACTGAAAGTTAAGGAGCTGTCTACATTCGATCTTACAAGCGGCAGAGTGGAAGCGAAGAGGTGTATACAACCCACATGACTGCGCAGCAGTATGTTGTAATTTATTTTAAGATGTTGAATAAAACTCCGTCTGCTTGGCACGTGGTATGCCACAGCCATACAACCATACGTCGGCAAACTGACTCATGTGTCGACTGACTCGCACTCACTAAGACTCAGATCAAGCCATGACTACAAGTCTGAGTTAGTCCGGGGACTAATATATTAGCGAGTTGAAGTTCGATTGAGTCTAACTGTAGATAATTTTTGTGTTTGTGAGTTCGAGTGAGTCAGCCTCCGGAACATTTGGGTGAGTGTGAGTCCGAAGGGGTCTAAAGCGCAAGATATAGTTTTTGAGTGAGTATGAGCAAGTTCCACATTTTTTTACTGATGTCTGGCGCTATCTACTCATCTTCCGCATCATCATCAGCCTTACCTAGACTTACGTTTACTCTGATATCTATTCACACGTATTGCAATGTAGTATTATCATTACTCTGATATATATATATATATATATATATATATATATATATATATATATATATATATATATATATATATATATATATATTCACACGTATTGAAAAGTAGACAATGTTATCAAATATATGAAACAGTCGTGCAGATTAGCACGAATCACGTTAGAGGGTGCTTTGACCTCCCCACACCAACTCTTCTTCAGAACTTTTTTGAAAATTATGTTACGTTGTCATCTCAAAAAAAATGTTTCTACTGGTTCGCAGCCAATCACAACTCGTATTCTAAGGTAGTATGTCGAAGGGCTCCCAGAAGAACCCCGATTACGTGAAATATTGGTGTAACAGAACATTGACACCAGAGTCAAAAAAGTAATTCTGGATTCTCGGACTCATAAGTCGACGCCAACAGATTCACTCAGATTGAGGCCATATTGTGAGTCTAAGCCTGAGTCAATGTGGACGACTAATATTTTGGTGAGTTTCAGTCCGAGCGAGTCTGGCTGAAAAATAAATTGTGAGTGCAAGTCTGAGGTTCACTGAATAAGCTGTTGGTCAGCAGAAGTTCGAGTGAGCCCTAAGCACAATATATATTTCGTAAGTGAGTCTGAGTGAGCTGCACAGTTTTTGCCGACATATGCATACAGGAAATGGCAGGAAGAGTAGACGGCAGCTTCCGATGAAAAAATTCGTAAACGGAGGTTGAGTGCTTCAGGTGGCATTTCAACAAGTTGATTTGTCTTCGGCAAGGCTAAAACTGATTTCGTTAGTGCAAGCGTGTGTGTATGCGTTGCACCCTCTCTTCCATTCTAGTAAAGGAGGAGAGGGCAACAATGGGTATGGAGGTGCGGGAGAGGCCATGAACAATTGTACGAGCAAAGAGGCAACATATGTTCTGCGAATAAAAACAAGACAAAGCGTAGGTGCAGTCAGGGCGCTGACGTTTCGCCGAAACACGGATGCCAGAAGAAGCGCCTTATAACAATAGTATGTTTGCAATGTTTAGAAGAAGGGCTTATAGAAACCGACAACTGCCCAGAGCATGAAATGAGATCATTGTGCGTCATATTTACTCAAATCAATCCTGCTTTTTTTTAATGCGAATGCATTTCCTACTTCGTATAGCTCAGGTGACCATCAGGATCCGTTCACCACCCTCTCCCATAGCAACAGCTGCGTGCGCGCGCACCCCTAGCAACCGGATAGCCCACCGTGTCACGCTTTGGAGTTGGCAGCTGTCAACAACTGCTGCGGGCGCGTGCGCTTATCCTCGCCCCTAGCAGCAGAAGCATGTGGTGCGATAGATTGTAGGAGAGGGTAGGTGCAATGCTTTGCCACTCCTTCTCGCGCCATTTACTCTCTCTTCTCCCTGCGCCCCACTCACCAGTTCGCTGGCATGACACCTCTGTGACACCACTGTGAAACGCTAACGCCAAGCCAAGAACACTGGCGCCCCACTATCCGATCCACTCGCTCGTCACTCTTAACCAATCGCTGGCTTGGCGCCTCGCCAGGCGGTGGCAGAAGTCCTGTGAAGACGAATGTCTGACCGTAACGGTACCCTCTCTAGGCGCAAAAAATACATTCAAATTTGTTCATGATTCCCTTCAGAAACGTGAGGGAAGTTTTGTGACGGGCGGATTTATGTACATATTTTTTTATTGTAAGTCACGTAAAATGACCTTTGCCACGTCTTGTGTCAAAAGCATGACTGATTCAATCTACTTGGCTACGTAACCATTGATTGCTGTACGCGGTTCAAGATCTTTTGCTACTATGAAAATATTGTTCATTTCTTTATGTGAAATATTCCTGCATAAAGAAGTCACAGCTTTGCCGAAAACCGAAGCAATGATTGCGATAGCAACGAATTGGAAGGTCACGCGCAGAGTAAAAGCAGATCGAAACATGCCCCGCGTTTTTCACGCACAAATAACGCACAAAACGAACTCACAGGTACGGATGCAAGCGAATAAGCGTATCATTTGTTACTTTGCTGTGTCTGAAAAGCGTGAGCTTTTCGCAAATGGAGACTGCAATGATTGCAGTGACCTTTGTGCACCTGGCGACCACTGCAGAATCGTTCCAGGTAAAGTCCAAGGGCAGCCAAGACATAGGACCTTCCCCTTCACGCAGCCGCGAGATAAGGGCGCGCGAGGAAACGTCGCTTCCCTTCTGTGCGCCGGGAAATGTACACGTAGGAGATCAGAGAGGACGCCGCCGTGCGTTGTGGCGACGCGCGCTCATTGCGCCATCTTGCTGGTAATGTTGAAAAACCCATTCCCAACCGAGCTGCTCGTGAGTAGCGGTAAGTGGTAGATATAAGTTACTTCCTGTTTCAACAGAGAAGGATGTGCTCAGGGGTGGCTGAGCTGTTAACGCCTCACTTTTATGACGCAGAGGTTCCACGTTTGATTCCGTTCGCCGGGATGTTTTAAAGGCAATAGACTTTCTTGGTGACCTTCGACGCAAAAACTTTGGTCTGTCTGTCTGTACATTTGTCTGTCTGTCCACCCTTAACGGTACCCCAAACGGCAGCAAAGTTTCCTAGGGATACTCCAAATTGCAGACACCATCAGCAGCGCCCCCCAATGTTGCTCAAGCTTCAGCGTTCATATTTGTGTGATTGCCACTTAAAAACCACTTATCTTATCTTAGGCCTATTGCGCATATCTTAGGCAGCATAACAACACGTATATATTCTGTATGTGCTTCCTCTACAAGAAAAGGCATATATAAGTAATCCTAAGGACCGTAGCCCTTATTACGCGGCACTGACAATGCAACGCGTGAAAGAAAAGGCGAGTGTTTTGAACGCTTTGCTAAGACGACATTGGTGGTGGCACCTACCCGTCGCCTTGCGTTCTATAACTTATCACGTCTGAGATGGGCGCGCAAGCTCGTCTCCGAGGGAAGCGTTTTGTTTTCCAAGATAACTGCCAGATTTCGCTCATGTCTCACGTACGACGTGCCTTGATGCGCTCGTTCGCCTCTGCTGCATGTTCGGGGCACTCTAACGCAGCGCCTCAAGAATACCATTCATCAGTTTTCACACGCAGAACATAAAATAAACTTTTCTTCACTCTCTCCAGACGCAACACTATCGTCTTTCGACCGCATTTGTAGATTAACATGCAAATACGGGGACATTTTTTTTTTCTTTCTTGCGCTTTTATATATATAGATACGTGTACATATACGGTGCATGATATCGACGCCAACGCCCTCGCCGACGCCGGCGGCAAAATCTAGCAAAGAGTGTCCATATAATTGCTATCGCAATAAAATGAACATACATGCCCGCTGCGTTACTAGTATGCTGTATCTTTGCAAATTACTTTGCAAAGATACTTCCCA